CTTGTATTGTGTGCTCAGGTTAATGTAAGAGAAATGTAGTCATTTCATCACAAGTGAACCAAAGTTATGCTGCTAGATTTTCTTACTGTGCAGATACAAGCTTAATGAACATCTGACCATAACCTAAGCTGTCAGGGCTTACAGGAAAAATACGGCTTTGTCAAAAGTAGGAATTCTACTGAAGCTGCCAGAGGAGGGCTTTTGTGCTCTTGAAGCATCAACTCACCAACACAGACTTTTAGATACCAGCCATCAGTCAGGGGAAATGATCACAAAGGATTGCTATAATGCTGCCAGATCGTAGCTGGCCAGTGATGTTTTCCAAACCAGGAAATGGAGGAATGAACTCTGAAATGGAGGGGATAAGGATTATTTTACATTTAACTAGAATATTGACTAGTATCTTACAGTAACTATGAAATGAAAGGAGATCAATTGGAATGTTAACAGGATTAGGCTGAAAGAAAATATTTAAAAATAGAAGATTAATGTCTGAACCACTGAATTGTTAATGACAACACTGACTGATAAAGTCATTTGAATTAGGCCAAAAATTGGATCTGTGGAATAAAACCAGTACATCCTAAGTAATCACACAAATTAATAAGACAAAGGTCTGCTGAATTTCATTGTGTTTGACTATTATGCAATCTCTGGTAGCAACATAATTTGCAAATACTTTGGGAAATCCCCTCTAAAAATGCGGTCTAAGTGGACCAACACTAGTAAAACCTTAACAAATTGTTTTTCCTCTGGAGCAGAAACCATAATAGCAGCTGCACAATTGTGGTGGCTTTCTTGCAAAGAAAACACAAAAAGCAGTATGAACTGCTTCTTGAGTCACTGTAGTTCACAGCCATAAACTATCTGCAGCCATAAACTTACCAGCAGCTATCACTGCTACATTCATCTGAAAACTGCTGCCACTTGGGAAAGACACATAGTGTGTCCCATTCTGTGTTCAGAGCCATTTTACTGTTCTGTCTGAATCTGCCTCTGAATTTGAGTCAGAGCCTTCAACTGTTACAGTACTTATGGACTTGAAATGAAAATGACTTCCTGTTCATTTTCCAAGTGAACATCCAACAGAAGACATATCTAATACACCCACCATGGGCACAAAGTTCAAGCCCGTTGGTATAATGAATGTATGTGTACAAGAATGTGTTAGAGAAGGAAATGAAAATAGGACCCCAAAGGATATTCTGAACACTTTACTATATCTAATATGCACCAGGGAATCAAACTTTTCTGGTCAGGATTTGGGAATTATTCTGATCTGACAGGAATATAACTACTTTTGTAATTGCTAATTAAAATATGTGATTACTCAGTACACAGTTGAAATTTAAGAGTAACTGCTCATTAAAAAAAAAAAAAGGCATTATTTAGTAAGAACAAAGAGAGATAAAAAAAGGGAAGACACTTCACATATGACTGAGAAAGTGTGTCAAAAGGCATAACTCATGCCAGTCATTAAAAAGATGGCAGCGTCTGTATATAGACTACAGAGAACTAAATCAAATTGTTGGAAGAGAATCTGATCTGTTATCATGGTGATACTCTGGTTTCTGTAGTGCTTTCAACCATGGTTTTCATCTTGAATTTTAGAAGATGAGAATCGAAAAAAAAATTTAGGAATAACTCTTGTCTCAGCTTGCCAAGCTCCATGTGAACTTAATGTGATGGTTTCAGCTTGTGCACATTTCTGTTTGGATAGCCTTAGCTTGTGCACATTTGTCTGAGGATGTGGTATGGCACAGCTGGATTCTTGCTGCAGTAAGATATGCCAAACCTGTTAAAGAGCAGCTGTAAACCCTAGTAGTTTGGTATAAGAAAGAAAATTAGGATGTATATAGAGCTGATAAGAGTACCAGTTGGGGAAAAAAGAAAAAAAAAAAGAATTCTGTAGTATTCAGCTCATGCTTCACACTGCAAATCTTGCAAAAATGCTGTAAGAAATTAATGCTTCCATGTTCAGAGTACGAATTTACGTTTCCAGTGCTGAAGTAGGTTTTTGTGGTTACCTTTGTGTTAAGCAACTGAGGTTTAAATTGGAAACAGATGTTGCCTCTAAAAATGGAGGTATTTATTGAAAAAGGGTGAAAAGAATTTGAAGTTGGTGCCAGAGACAACTGAGGGAGCTAGACTCTTAGTGGCACCCAGTGTCGGGGCAGGAGATATGGGCACAAACTGAAGTGCATGAAATTCCAGCTGAACATAAGAAAACACTGCTTTACATCGTTGGTTGAACGCTGGAACTGGTTCCCCAGAAAAGTTGTGGCATCTCTGTCCTTAGAGATAATTAGAAACTCAACCAGGCATGGTCCTGGTCAGTGCTTTCGCTGATTCTTTTGAGCACTTCACTTGGATTGAACTAGATGACTCTGTGAGAGCACTTTCACTACGTTTTCAATGGGAGGAAATTGAGTGAAATGAAAATAAAGGACATCCTTCAAGACACCCAGAAATGTATATGCAGGGAGATGCTATATATCTACACCATTTGGTGTTATAGGTTTTATGTCTGGTGTACGGGTAGGGAAGGAACCAACAGTGTAACACAACTGCATTCCTAGGACTAGGATTTAGAAGCTGCAAAATCCTGAAAGACAATCATACAGCATGACTGAATTTCTCCCAGCATGACTAACCTCTAATTGGGGAAAGAAAAATACAGTCTAGAATACTGCCTTTTAAAAGGTGCCAATTTCCAATTTACCACGTGATCTTTTTGCACTCTGTCAGGCAGATGGGAAAGCTGTAACAGGAAATTTTATGAGATGGGTTATACCTCACAGAAACTGCTATAATTGCTACTTCTCATTTGAGAAAAATGTTCAAGACAAGCTCCTTGTACCCAAAATGAATCTTCTGCCAAAGCAAAGGAAAATGCTACTACTGAAAACACAGGCACATAGAGCAGTAGGGATCTTCTAGATACTGTTCCATGAAATATTACGTGCTTGACAGACACACAAAGATGAGAAATTGTTAACTTCTGCTGCATTCAGAGAAACTGTACATTACTTGATACATGAAGTGTATGCTATTCATGCTTTGATTGTTTAACTTGAATTTATCCTCAATTTCTTCCTCATCACATCCTCTGTGCTTGCTATTCACATGGCCAGACTGGAGACAATTAAATTAGGAAAACAACAAAATCAGTTTATCTTTGTTATCTTCTTCAATTGGTAGCTACTGGTTTATATGACTTCAAATGCAGCACAATTAACATTTTACATGACTGTGGTCTAAACAATGAGCAGTGATTCAGACTTGATGATTTAGTTAAATTAGTATTCAACCATAGTGAGACCAATAGAAAAGTTTATTTTCCTATTACAAAGTTGTCGTAGCCTCCAGACTGCAGATATTTTAGGATGGTATCAACAGCAATACAACTTGATAAATTACCCATCTGTCATGGATAAGCTCTATTGGGATGACCTCTGACAAACTTCACTAATTTGTAAATTTTTGTTCTAGACAGTTCCAAAAGACTTGTATCAGTTGTGGATCTGGTGCCCATCATGACAGATTATACTGCAGTTTAGCAAGATGGCTATCAGATCTTCAGAATCTAGTTGGAATCAAAAAGCCTCAGCATCCCCAAATTGCTAGATCAAGCAATACTAGCTGAATTCAGCAACTCTAGCTTTCTTTTTTTTTTTTTTCTTTTATTAAAAGGAGAAATATTTTCCTACTTTTGGGGATCCCATTAGAAAACAGATAGACCTCTGAAAGGATTCGTAACAACTGACAATGTAAAATACACTGAAAATTTTTCTCTCTTTAATTTTATGTCCTCTGGTAGATTTCTTATTTCAGTGTACATGTTCTTATACTGTGATTGTTCATACACTGTTAATCCATAATCTCTTATAACTGGAAAGCTTTTTTGAGTTGGGGCCACATGCAATGCATAACTACTGCCTGTAGGAGCCTGATCCCCATTTTGCACATCCCTCATTGCAGCCTGCATTGATGGCTGTCTCAGGTCACAGACATGAAGAGCAAGTTGTCCAGTCATATCCCTTCCTCCCAAGCAGACGCAGCGGTGATGCAAGAGGACAGCTTGTGACATACAGTCCCTGAGTAAGTGTTTTCTGTCTCCTCAAAGGAAAAGCCAGACAGAAGTATCCTGCAGACCCAAATCTGGTCTACACACAGTCAGCTGGACCACTTTGTGGGCAGCCAGCTCAGCTACACTTTCAGAAGTCACGTAGTGACTGCTGTTGTGTGATTAAGTTGTGGCTGCAGTTACTTCTACTCTGAGTGCTTTTATTTTTTAATTTATTCTGGATTCACATACTCATTCCATTTATGCTTCACAACGATTGCTGCTCCAGTTCTAATTTTAAACTAATTTCTTCTAACGAGACCCTAACTCCACCTCTAAGCAGTCATTCCAAAATACTAGCACCATTTTAATCTTCTTTCACTTTCTCACAGCAATTAGCTACTTCTTTGGCTACTACTGCACTGAACAAGAAATCTAAGCTTCTAGCTTCATGGTCGTATATGCTCCAGCCCTGATGACATTTAGGAAATGGAAATTTCATATGCATCAGTCTGAATCTGACTTCAGTCTCTGTAGTCATTACAATAGCAGGGATTTTATCCAGTCACAAATCCTAAGGACAGGGAAGATGATGTCCTGTTATCCAAGAAAAGCTGTCCAGCTACCTTTTCAAGGCAGCTCTAAGTCCCCTTTGTACCTATGAAAGGAGGAACACTGAATTTCTATTAAATAAAGTTACATAGATTTGGTAATTTACTATGAATCGTTACATTATTAGACAGTAGTGCAAAATGCTTAAAATAGTATGAACAGCTCAGTCTGAGTAGAACATGTTTGTGAGTGGAAAACAATATACTGGCAAAGGAGCATGGTAACTATATCTTTTTCATTATCTACCAAATCCTCTCTTCCCCTGTAACTCTAATACTCATGAGACTAATAATAATATGTCGTGAAATCTAATTTTGTATTCCCAGCTTGCTTCCATTTTGAAAGGACTCTCAAAAAGATGGCTGTCTTCTTTCTGTAATAGGAAGAAAGGAGTATAGCTTCACAACTTTTTCTTCATAAGAAGTGCTTTTATTTCCCTCTGATCAATCTGCCAGTCTGCTGAGGCCAATTTTTTTCAAGGCAGATGCCCACTCACTGAGAATATTAAGAAACCTGGGACCTCCTGCAGAATTATGACAAGCTTCTCACAGCCCAATCTGCTTTTTTATTATCATTATTTTTATTTATCTTTATATTTTGTGCCTTTCATAATTCCACGGGAAGCAGCCCCTGGGCCCCACAGTGTACATACCATGACTTGAAAACCACTCCTTCACAAAGAAGTATTATTAAATAATAATAATTTTGCTGACAGACTTAATAGGAGGCTGCTTATTTCCATGTTTTCCTATCCAAGATATCAGGTTCAGATATAACATTGATTTGGAAGATATTCATTATTCATATTCATATAAGATTGATTTGGAAGAATATCACCAAATTAATGAAAGGTCCAGGCCATAACATCAGTTTCTAATGAAAGTCCTTAACAAGCAAAGAAAAATGGAGTGTTACTACTAAACCACCCAGAATCTCAGTGCAGGCGTTGTTGAATGGAAACTTTGCTAAGTCTTGCTGTTGAAGTCTTAGGTTGTAAAATCAACAGCTGAATTCATTTCTCATCTGACTCCACTAAGTCAAGTGAATTGCATCATACAATTTCAGCCTGACTGACTTCACATACATCCTAAGTTTAATTAGTACACGTACTGTATTTTTAGTGTATATACCGAGCCTGCTAACCTGAAAAACACAACTTGTAAAGTGGGTGAATCGTGACCGAATTCCCCACCTCTCCGCCGGGAACGCCGAACGATTTCCGTTCTGCTGCTTTGAGCGTTTCGGACTGTTCTTCCTGAACACCTTGACGGAAGGAGCAGGCAACGCCGCAGTCGGCAGTAACGCCACGAGCTCCCTGCGTGCCGAACTGCTCCCCAGCGGAGGGATACGTCTCGCACGAGCGAGGAAACCTGCGCTGTTCCACCCGGGAGAGGGCACTGTTTCACCTGGCCGCGGATCGCACACGGACACAGCTGGAAGGAACGGGGAAGCTGGGACTGCAGCCGAGAACTCGGCCGACTCGTACGACCGGTAGTTACTTTAACGATAGCGCTAATCTTCGGAATGAGTTGAGTCACCCGGACGCTGCCACAACAGGAACACTATATGACAGTCTGTAAACACGCAGGGTAAGCTTATTTTTGTGCGTCTGAAACTTACTAAGTGATCCACAGGTAAATAAAGCAGCTCCTGGACTGTAGCTGATGACTTTTAGTTGCTGATGACTTTTTTTTTGATAAAGCGTAACATAAATAAGCATCTGACCATTTAAATATGAAATTAATTTCATGTAATAGTAACACGACCTCTGAGGTTAATCCTTTGATGGATGCCTCTTGAAGACAAAGTAAGAGTACAAAATATGTTACAGTTTCAGTCCCTCTTTCTAAAATGTCCAAGTGTGGATCCCCATCCCTGGAGGCATTCGAGGCCAGGCTGGATGTGGCTCTGGGCAGCCTGGTCTGGTGGTTGGTGACCCTGCACATAGCAGGGGGGTTGAAATTAGATGATCATTGTGGTCCTTTTCAACCCACACCATACTATGATTCTATGAAATGGCACTACGGATCTCTTGAGACAGCTCTCTCCTCCCTTAAGAAATCCCCCAGCAGCAATGTGAGAAGACCAAACTTGACATTTCTGGTTTCTCTAAAAGAAAGAGGCCACGATTGGGTGGGGAGAAGCCTTGTTATGCAAGACATAACAGAGCAAAAGAAGAAAAAAAAATGTTGCATGCTGGAAAGTTATCGTTTCAGAAATTATTTCATTATTTTCACAGGGAACAACCTCAGAAATTCCGAATTCTCCTGGATAATTCTAATGGAAAGATATTCTACTGAGATGAACCGAATAAAATATGGAATATATTGAAATACAAAAAAAAAGAAAATCACCAATAATCTTAACTCGAAGGACAGCAATTTAATCATACTTAGTGCTGTTGTAAGCAACTTGGAGTCCTCAGGCACCGCACTGGGTTGAGGGGCATCCAGTCTCAGACAGATGAACCATGTATGCCATGACTGTCCTACGTCTGCAGTAAGCCCAACATGCCCACATCATTTGTGCATGAACTTTTCCATGAAAATGTAGGGACATTTCTGACATAAAGGTTGTAGGATAGATAATATTTCCCATACTACATGTGAAACTATATATTGTTTAGGCTGTTTGGCTATCCTTGTATCAGCTAATGTAGGCTGGCTGCCTTTTCCTAATGAGAGCTTAGGCCGATGCCTTAAATCATTGACCTTGGTTTATAAGCGCTGATCCCACGAACTTCTGCAATAAGATTGCGTAGCTACACCTTCATTTAATACACCATATCTCACGCTCCCACTTCCAGAAGTATTTCGAAGCACTGTGCCAAGCATACTCAATGCATGGATCTTTAGAGATGTACCTCTCAGTCTGTTATTTCTGATCAAGACCAATAGATCATTTTGAGCTAGTTTGCAAAAGCTGTTAATGAAAGAACTGTTTGCTCTAAGGCTAAAATGATGATGGGATTAATGAAAAAGCAATCTCCTGAAAGGAGATGTGTAACAGATTTCCATAATACAAGCAGAGAGCTGACTACGTTCAAGGGGCTACAGTTTTATATTTCGTGTATTTTGTGTATGGGTTTTTCTAAGGGTGAAATACTAATGAGAATTTAATTCAGAGGATGTACACAGAATTGTATTACCAATATGTTATACAATATATGATGAAGTCAGATATAGAATTCACTGAAATCATGTAAATAGGCTATGTTTTTGTGTTTTTCTAAGCATTTTCTGTTATGGCCTAAAAGCCAGTGGAATCTTCTGTAAAAATATAGAATACTACAGTATTGGAGGTGTACTATGATAATCCTAGCATGCTGACTGCATAAGGTACTGGAGTGTTATGCAGGATTTTAATGTGTGAAGAAATTGATCCCACTCCTTTCTACCTCCAAAAAATAAAAAAGCCTTTTTGTATTCACTATATTTTACCAAAGAGAAAATGAAGAGAAGAATGACCACAAAAATGGAAGGCTGGAGAAATATACGGTGAATATGAAACAATTATTAGATAAGTGAAAAATGCCTATTCTAAGGACCATCAAAAAGAGTGGGTTATGGTAAGGAAAAGAGAACAGTAATTCATATTAATCAGATTTGCTTCTTGCAGTAGCAGACTCTGACATTTATAACCCAAATGAGCACATGGAAACAATTGTAGATACAAACCAGTATCTAGAAATACTGCAAAATCAGTGCCCTTTACTGTGGCCATTACTGGATGTCTACTATCTATAACATACAAGCACACTCACAAAGGATTCTGACACTAGATAGAGGTTATTTTTTCACTCTATTCAGAGCAAAATCTGAATATTAGAAACTTTTTACTCCTAGGAGCTGTCTGGAAAGACATGAAGCATTCAACCTGCAGGTTAGATGTCCTGCCTTTTTCATTTTTGTCCGTAACACTCAATAGGAATTCAGCCCACAATAAACCTAGCTTTCATCCTAAAGCTCTGCAAAGCAGTTATTACCCCTGCTTCACAGGTGAGGACTTAAGGCACAGAGAACCCATGGCCTACCTCCTCAAAAGGAATTCAAACACACGATCAGGATATACTCCATCCCCAGAGGTGTCCAAGGACAGGCTGAATGAAGCCCTGGGCAGCCTGATCTGGTATGTGGTAACCCTGCACAAGACAGTGGGTTGGAGCTTAATGATCTTTAAGGTCCCTTCCAACCCTTCCATTCTGTCATTATCTATCTGTGACTTTAATGTCTAAATTAGATGAAGGCCTAAGATCACACTGGAAGTTATCAAAATCAAACCTGGCCTAATGCGAAATTATCCTTCTCAAGAAAGGTCTGAAAACCTCAGCTTGAGAAACTGCATTGTATACAAGCTTAGGTTTAAAGATTATCTAATTTCATGAATAGATGCTCATGGTACAATACTGTTGCAGGAAAATGGAGTTTTTCCAGTCAAATCACAGGGGAAGAGTAAATACACACAGTATAAGGACTATATGCATCCGTATATAGCTGACAGGGTTTGCTGCAGTGTTGTTCTTTTATATTTGTTGGGCTTGTACTTTCTTTAATGGAGCTATAACAGCCAAAATGCTGTGTATGCAAATGGAGACAAGCAGGTAGCACTTGCACATGACAGCCAGTCCACAAGTAGACAACCCCAATCAGAAGCCACTACAATCAGTTCTAAGGAAACGGAAACAAGCTGCTTTGTGAAAAAATGCCTCTACTGCACATTGTCCGGCAACTGCACAGGAGGGGCAGGCACTTCTATAGACTTCAGTGTCTCAAAGGCCTCTAGTTTCTGAATAAGCAACTGCTGTAAATGCAATCTCATGCTCCCCTCAGAAAATCTATCTGCACCGCTCTGTACCACACCATATTCTGCGCACCTCAGATCAGCCGGGATGATCCCTGGTTTCCTATTTCAGCTTCCCAGACAGAGAGCATCTGTGGCTTGCAGCTGCTGGTTCTGCAATACAATATAACAGCCCATTACACGGGACTGACATTTCCACCATTCACTCTACTTTTAAAATCTTGCAGCAGAATCTGTGCAAAGACATTTCTTTGCTTGCATTGTGTCCCGCAATTACCTGCTGCTGGGCCTATCGGGCCCAGAGTTGCCCTGTGCCGTGTGAGGAGACTTTGGCACATCGGAGCACGCGAGGAGGGTAAGGAGCTGGGCTGGGTGCGAAGGGCAGGCACTGCGGTTTTCTCAAGCGAGCATTTGGAACAAGAAGAACGACAAAACAACTGGGAATTGCTGTATAGGCAGACTGAGCAGACTCTCAAAGCGTGAGAGAAGTCGTCCGGTTCCCAAGGACCTGCCCAGTGACTTGCCAGCCAGATGTTCCCTCAGAAGCACTTCAGGGGAACGCCGCTGCCCGGCCCGGCCCCGCCCAGCTGCCCTCAGCACTCCCGCGCGCCCTCGGGCTCCGCCGTCCCCGCGGTGACGAGGCCGGGGAGGCTGCTGAATCCCGGCTCAGCCGCCTCGGGGCCAGCCGGCGGCAGGGAGCGCCGTCAGGGCTCTGCACGCACGCTCTACCCCGCGCCGTCACGCCAGGCGCCGCAGGGGAGCGGCCCTGCCCGCGACACCGCGAACCGCGGGTGTCCCCGGGGCGAGACGGCCGCGCCTCCACACACGGCTGCAGCAGCCTTCCCTCGGGGGCAGCGGGGAGGAGGCTGGGGAGGGGGGAGGCAGCGTCCCCGCAGCGGCTCTTCGCCCACCCGCGGTCGACGGCCCCGCTACCCCCGCCACGCCGCGCACACGGCGGCCCCGCCTGAGCGGCGGCCGCGGAGCCGGCAGCCGTACCGCGCATGCTCGGCAGCCGCCGCCATTTTGGTGGGGCCGGGAGTTATCCAGCGGGAGCGGCGGCGGCGGAGCTCGCTGGGCCCGGCTCGGAGGTGGCGGCGAGTGGGTGCCCGCTGCGGAGATGGCCAACATCGCGGTGCAGAGGATCAAGCGGGAGTTCAAGGAGGTGCTGAAGAGCGAGGAGGTCAGAGCCGCTCGCCGCCGCGCTCCGCCGCCACCCTCCCCGGCTGCACGGTGGGAGTGCGGGAGCGGGGAAAGGAGCGGGCGCCCGCCGGCCCGCGGGGGGCCTCGCTGCCCCTCGGCCCCACCTCCCCGCGCGGGGGGTGGGTGGGATCGTCCCGCGGCCTCGGGGAGGGGAACGGCGATCCTCGAGGAGAAGGGACCCGCCGGGAAGGGGAGAGAGGGGAGCGGCGGAGACCTTCCCCTGCGGGAGCCGGGGGAACGGGGCCGGCCCGCCACAGGCCGGGCGGAAAGCCCCCCCGTCGCGGGGCGGCGAGCTGCCAGCCGGGCGGGTGGGGCCCGCCCCGGCCTCCTGCCCCGGCCTTCTGCCCCGCCGCCCGCCCCTCGCGTCCCGCCGTCCGCGCAGCCGTCAGCCTTCGTCCTCCGGGCCGGGCTCCCGAGGGCCGGGGGTGATGGAGGGGGCTGGGGATTCCGCCGCCTCCAGCATCGCCCTCGTCTCGCTCCTCTGCTGCACAAGCCCGGGTTTTTAATATCTTGAATTTTTTGCAGGTAAACCTCTGTTTATCTAGGCTGTTTCATTGCAGGACTTCCATTATCCCGGTGTAGGTTCTCACCTTCAGCTGTGTGGCTTTAGAGCCTCCCTCATTTCTTTCTCCTTACCCAGTCTCCCTCGTTTTCACCTGCATCCTTCTGAAATGATGCACACCTGAGGCCATGGGTGCTCGGTAAGAATGGCCTGCTGCTCTCAGGGAGGTACTAAGGAAGTTCTGATCTGTTCAGGGGAGAATAGAGCAGCCTTTGAAACATCACATCGGTATGGCTCTTGCTGTACCCGTATCTGAGTTGGTGAACGTCAGCCAGATAGGATTTAATAGTTGTGTCGTCATCATCGTCCTACTTGGGATGATGTTGCAGGTTAGATGCTTGTGAAATATTAATGGGAGCGTATAACTCCTAAAGCTGGTGTTGTAGAAATCTGGACACGTTAGTGAGGAAAAGTTGAGAGGATGTCTTTCAAAATATATTAATGGTTTAGGGAAAATGTGTTTAGCGTAACAGTAGTTGATGTACTTTAAAATAAAGTGCACTAATAGCATTGTTGCTATACAGCTTGGATGAGCCCCTTGAAGGAACATAGAGGCCTGGTTCTACAACTGCCTTAGAGCCCAGGCTGGACATAGCCAAGTTCTTGCACCGTGGTGACAGAATTGCATGTAAACTGAGAGAAAATTCTCAGTGAGTTTCTTCGTACCAAAGCTACCAATTCTAAACCCCGTACCCTATATAACAGCTCATATTTGAAATTGAAGTCTAACAGCTTCAAGGCATTTTTCCCTTTGCCTTATTTAGGTGGAAAAGGGGAGGGAAAGAAAACTTCCCTAGTTTTAGGGGGAGATCCATGCAGCTTTTTTTTTTTTTATTTTACTGTAAAAGTTGGGTCTGGAGAGTGCATTTTTCTCAGTTCTTGTTTCTTTATTCTGTGCGTTGAAGGGCTCAGCATAGAATGTTGTAAATAAATAATACTGTGAAATGCTCTCCTTTTTAAGCTGCATAAAACCCCACGAAGACCCTGATCCTTACAAATCTAAAATTACGAGATCTTAACATTAGAATGCATCACTTCAGTATTTTTTCCCCTGCCACTAGCTAGCCATGTTAGAGTGTCACATTGATGAAGTAATTTACATGGAATTGATGTTTAAGGATATACTAATTCTCCTATCACAAAGAGTGAATTTCAGCATTCATCAGCACCTGCAATTTAGACAACCACAGTGTATTTTGAATGTTTATATGCTCAAAGGTGGTCAGACTAGGGTATCAGTAGTGCCACTAATGTGAAAACACATGCAGTGAGTTGAGGAATGGAGGATGGAGATATAACTCATACAAATCAAAAAGGAAATAATTGTGTGTTTTTTTGCCTGCATAATTTACATACTGACATTAATCTTAAATCTTGTTCCTTTAAAAGAAAGAAAACACAAATGATGATGCTAAATTTGTTACTTAGAAGTTTAAGTCCCTCTCTGATGGCAAAGTGAGTCATGTTATTTGCACTTTAATTATTCTTCATTTGGTGCTTTGAGCTACACCTGAGCGTGGAGAGCAGCCCCTGTTTCTCTGCAGATGCAGTAGGAGTGCAGACGCCTGGGGAAGACTTGAGCACTCTTGGAAAGAATACAAGGGGTTTGCTCTCATCTTCCAATACTCATCTTGGTACTGAAGTAAGGTGGTAGAACCAGGAATGTTTAAGGGGGAGAAGCTGGGTGGTATTTAACTTCTGCAACTGGAAGCACCAGGTTTCACTTCTAAGTATTGCAGAAAAAGTAATCCTGAAAAATGTGCTTATTCTTGCTATAGATAAGGTTTAATATTTGTATGACTAAATATACTTAGTGCTTTCTGTTTGTGTGACATTGAATAGTATTTTTGGGAAACCACTACAGCAGCTTTCAGTCTTGTCTTGCTCTCTGGCTTGCAGGTAGGAGCTGAGGGATTTTTGATGTGGTAGGAGGGGTTGACAGAGCATTTTAAAATCTTCTCACACTTCAGCGTTCTTGCTTTTTTTTTTTTTTTTTTTTTTTTTAAACCATTTCTGGCTTTTTTTATATGGCCTTGCATGTTATCTTTAGGAATGGGATAATGTAGAGATCCTTGCAGCTTTACATCTTTTGAGTTTATGAATAAGGTATGTGAGACTGACAACAATTTCCCTGTTGAGAGTTCTCTCCACAGTAGGAGGCTTTTTGCTGTCCTGTAGAAAAAGTTTTTAAAATTCTCAGATTGATGATGTCCTGCATATGCAACAAAAGTGAAGCTGCTAGTCTAGGTAATAACTTCACTAGTGGAATATGTGTTAGAGGGTACTGTATTGTGCCTGTATTAAAACGTAAGTAGTAAACAGTAATTAACTCATACAGTGTTTTGAATCATAGTCTAGGCAAAGCATCAGTTGCTCTCTTTTTTTCTTTTGTCATTTCACTAGTTTATCTTGTTAGTTTCATGGATTAGGCTAAATTAAAATCCAAAGTAGGGAAACATATCCTAAATGAAAATGTGAGGCTGCAGCTTGATGGAGAAACCAACAATTGGTGGAGGGAAAATAATAGCCTGATGTTTATCTTTCTTCTTGATGACGGGGAGGAGGCTTTGGTGAGGGTTAGCTGGTATTATTTCAGAATGGGGTTACTGGAATGCTAGCCAGGTTCTTACGTTCTCTGTTTGTAAGCAGCTATCTTATGAGGGGAAGGATCTGACATTTAGCAATGAGTACTGAAAAAGCATTGTGTTCATTCATGGACTGGTGCTGGCAAGTGGTTGTAGTTCATCAGGCACTTTTAATGTGTAAATATTTTTTCTTATTTTAATATAGTATCACATGTTGTGCTTTAAGGAATGATGTTGTGCTGGCGGTGGAGGATTCAAGGTGAAGTTGACCATCCAATATCTTTAGCATGTTAGGAGCTTTCTAAGTCGAATGCTATTATGGAGTGAAATTGCTTCTCTGTGGTATTGAGGGTAACACTTTGGTAAACATGGTTTCCTCCTGGCAAGAAAAGAGTTGGTGGTATTTCTACCACAAGATGTTCCTCTTCCATGTATCAAAAGGCAGAGGTTTATCTGCGTAGAAGGTAAACACAGATAGAGCTGCAAATAAATTGAACTCGACTGTAGTTGCAGAATATGAGTATCTGCAAGAGCAGATATGTGCAGTAACAGTTAAAATTTGTAACTTGAGTCCCAAATAGTTTTCAAGTGGAAACAGTACGTTGATGACAAAAATTTAGTTGCATCATTTCCAAAAGGAAGTCGATATTTGTTCTGGAGTCTGCTATGTGATTTTGTGATATAAAAGAGAAAAGGGAAGAGTAACAGTTGTGTGCCATACTGGGTCCCTCCTGAGGCAGCAAGTAGCTGTGGTGTTTGTTTCCTTCTAGTGGTCTTGGGATGCTTAGCAGTTTGTAAGCTGCTAAATGACTTCTTGGTAATTGGGAAAGCTGTGAACTGAGGTTCAGGAAAACATCATTGCACCTGATTTGCTCATACTTGAGCAGTCTTGGGTGCTAGAAACTGAATTCACTAAAATGGAAGCTTTTACTAGTAATTGTGCTTCAGTGTCATTAGAATGGCCTGATGAACACTTTGTATGTGTTTTTTTTCTTACCATTTATTATGTAGGACCAATGGAGATGTATAAAAATGAAATGTTGTCTATTATGACTCCTGAGTCAGCAGCATAATATTTAAGCACTACCAACTTTCTGCTCAGTAGGCCATTAAGAATTGGCCTATTGAGGTCAAGTGTAGGTTTAGTAAGTGCAGAGTGTGAGTAGAGCTAGAGTGGGCCTAGTTAATTAAAGAAAAAGTGTAAAAATGAGAGCATCTAAAATGAGGTTGTATTGGTACAAATCTCTGGTTTGGCTCTCGGAAAACTTGCATATGGCCTCAGATCGGGGAGGAGGGAGGCATCAGTGCTTCAAGTGCAGGCTGTTTTGTAGACGGACGTGTAGAGACTGGAGAAATTCATGAGCTGACAGGAGCCTTGTGAAGTGAACTTTTAAGTGCCAAGTCCTGAATGTGGGAAGTAACGCTGCACATCAATGCATATGCTTGGGGACTGACTGGAGACAAAGCAAATTTGGCAGAAAAAGACCTGTGGCAAAGAAGGCCAACTGCATACTGGGTTGTTTTAACATGAAGAGGGATGAGGAAGTGGTTCTTCGCTTTCCCCTGCACTTGTGAGACCGTATCTGGAGTGCTGTACCCTGTTCTGGGAAATCCATTTATGTGCCAAACTGAGTCCAGTAGAATGCCATAAAGGAGGTTAAGGGACTGTGGTGTGCGATGTGAGACAAGGGCAGAAAGATGGCCACTTAAACCCACCACAGATACTTTACTGCAGAGGTGAATCATACTTATTTCATTAGTGCACAGGGGTAGGATGAGAAACAACAGGTAAGAGCTGGATCCTGAAAAAAAGAAAAAAGGAAAAAAAAAAAA